GGAAAGCACCCATAAAACCTAGGGACTAATGCTGCTCGATGACCATCAAGAAAGATTTACAAATAGTTTTGACAAATAAATCCCATAAGTGTGATGTATGCACAAAGAAAAAAAGGGAATTTCGATAAATCTCTCGAGATAACATTGTCGTGAAGACTTCAGTTTCATATAAAAAGTATGTCTACTGATCAGATTCGATGGTCGAACTGGCAAGAAGAAGACATTGTACTGCAGCCGTTTGGCGCTTATACCACTTTCGGATTGGCGCAGTCCACCAGACATCTTCCCTTGTTTTGACGTGAAAACGAGCTGAGTTTTCGTTCGTCATTTAACGAACATCCTCGGGGCAGGAACTCATTCTTGCAAGAATCTCAATTTAATGCTCTGTCCTGCATGTCATATACACTCATTACAAAAAAGTTAGATGTAGATGTCAATACACAAACATACACAAACAGACACAGTTGAGTATAGGAGAAATAACCATACGATTGTACATTCATCTATAAATAAATATTTTTTCATATGAGTATGTATACCATGCAGAATAGAGTCGGTTAGTCTTCGCGACTTAGTGTCAACTTGAGACTTTTGCAAGAGTGGGTTTTAGCTGTGAGGATGTTCGTCGATTGGCGAACAAATGCACAATCTGTTTTTCGCCCAAAACAGGCGTTAGCTTCAAGGTTGTATTAAGGCCAAAAGGCCACAGAACAACGCAAATTGGCCATTGTCTTCTGATGACATTGAGCCGTCATCATCGTGTACTTTAATACGAAATGAACGTTTTCATAACGGTAAAAATCCCACCATAGCTTTGGTGATCAGCGAGTAACAAGTAGGAATAGATGCGCCAAGCAAATTGTTGTTATGCAATATCGAATCACCGTCTTCCAGAGCCTGATCGGTACCTCAAGCTGAGGCAAAAAGGTGTAAAAGACGGCAATTCAACCCGTCGGACCTAAATTAAAACAAATATATGTAAAGAATTCATTTTCCGCACCCAAGTGGAGTTTCGAGAATCATATTAAAGAATTCATGCAAGGCAGACGGTTGGGTGGGAATACACGAGGCGTTGTGAGGCCAGTGATAAATAAAAACGGATTAAGATCGTGCATCAGCAAGCATGCCAACAACCAGGTACCTTGAGATCCGAGCATTGTCGCCTTGACTGTAGAGAGGATGCGCAGCTGATTGCCAATCATCAGGATTCGATCGCTGAGTTGCAGAAGATTCTGTCGAAAGAGCAGAACGAGGCAAAGTGGGAAAAGTGAATGATAGGAATCTGTTTGTTTTGTAGTCACATAAAAAGCTCATAGAAACCACAATAAAATGATCAGTTGGTCCGTCTAACAGATACCAATGTCCGTTACTCGGCCGATGCATGGGCCCCTCAGGCATGTAGAGGGGTTGGGATGTTTAGGTGGTCTTTTGTGAAATCATGCTCTCTTGGCCGATAGGGTCAAAGTTAATAGTTGAAAGTGGACTGCCAAAACGGTACTTCATCACAGCCGGATCAGCTCCTGCTGATAGTCCGGAATGCTCTCTCGCGCCCAAGTCGATTCAGACTATTTTGCTGATACTGTTTGTGGGGAACGCATACCACGTCTGTGTCAGGCCAGTTTGGGAGCTGCTGTTTATGCCAAGTGGGATGGTGCTTTGTCTCTGCCAAGAAGAAGACTTTGGGGAGGAACTAACTTGGGCGTACATGTAAAGGATCGGGCTTGGGGCATGAATAGACATAGTGTGCGCATGTATGCAAATTTCTCCTGGCAGATCAGAGCTCCTCGATCATGGAGACAAGAAATTTCACCAATCTTGAGTGGATTATACGCTCAAAGATGCTAGCAATCTGCTGAAAAGAAGGCTCGAGGAAGAGGAATCATTGTTTGGGAAAGGATGTGAACAGGACATGTGCTGTAAGAAACTTAGGCTGAACTATGTAGAAATAAAAAAGAACTTATTTCCATGGTCTAACCAAACTAGTTTTTACCAATAGTTTACAAAAATGATTAAACCTTTGTTGTGCTGTATTTGCCTAATTACTAACACAACTTATGTTACTAAATTCGAATATTATATACAGAATTGTGAGGCCAATTATTAACGATTTTTAGGTACATGCCTGGTTAATAAAATTTGGAGGAGAATTGTGGTTATATTGAAGAGAAGAGGATTTATAATTTTACTAGTTATATACAATACTAATTGTCCGGTTTAAGTGAGGACCTCTAAATGATATGGCTCTTATTCAATTGAATTCAATATTTTTATGGGATTAACCTTTTTATCGGTAACATATTTTCGTATTTTTGTTGTAAGCGCCATTAAGCATAGACAGTTTTTTTTCATTTTCTTTTTGTCTATTCTCATTTTTATTGGCTTTTTGCTCTTAATTTTATCTGATTTTAGTTTGTAAGTCAAAAGCTTTGATGAAGATCTATTATTCGAGAATAATGATAGTAATGTCTGTTATGTCTTCTATTAGTAGCTTTAGCATATTTTCAACAAAACTTGTTATTTGCCACTAGTCTATTATTTTGTTTTCCTTAATTTATTTTGTTTTTAGTTATATATGGGTTTAATTGTCATTTTATTCAATGTATTTTAATGATGTTTATGATGTCTTGATATTCTTTCTGCTCGTTCACAAAATAGTTGTTGTCATATATCTGCACATTTTTGTATTAGTGGCAGGATTTTCCTAGTTAGGTTTTCATCTAACTTTAAGATGGAGTTTATAATTCATTTGGATAGAATTGCTGATCGTAGAATGCATTTTATGCTTTGTGTTATTTTGATTTCTTAGTATAAGATTATTTGGTGATATGTATATTAGTATGAAGAGAAGCTGGGTTTCGAAGGATCCCTTAGTAGATTAATACTGACCCACCTTTCATTTGGTTTGAGAAAGCGGGTGGAAGGGATTCATAGATGGCCTGACCGGATACCGAAGGAGGGTTGCCTCGGACTTTTGTCTGTCGAATTGTGCGAAGATGACCTCGGATTACCGTCTTAAGACCCCGATGACTCCGTCGTAGGACGGTGAGCCGAGGTCACCTTCACACAATTGAACAGATAAAAGTCCGAGGCAACCCTCCTTAGGTATCCGGTAAGGCCAATCTACGAATCCCTTCCACCCGCCTTCTCAATCGAAATGAAAGGTATGCTATTATAAATTTATAAAATTAAACTCATTTACTATGATTGAATGCATAAAATGATAATAGTTTGCTTGTCTCAACGTTTGCTGGGAGTTGTTGGGGAAATAATGCCCAGATCTGGTTGCATCCGAAGAAGTCTGTTTTGAGAAGTACGAGAACAAAATTGAAATGTATAAAACCGAATTGAATCTGTCGTCATGTGGTGACATCACACATTTTCACACCAAATGAAAGTTATCCCAAACCCGTCCAGCCACAAAGTAAATAAACCACTTCTTCCGCCGTAATCTCTTAATCTGAAGCGCATAATTTATCCTAACGGCGTCTCAAACGAAGCGTAACTCGGTATGTTTCTTCATTATCTTCTTCAGCTTAGGATTGATTTGATATCAGGATCAAGAGGTTACAACCCCATTCATGAGAAACAACCAGTCTCTAGGGCTTTGATAAAGGTGACTAAATGGCCAAATGTGTAGGTTAAACAAGATGGCGAGCATCGTGGGTAGACAGCAAAATGTGGAATCACCGATAAACCCAGTCAAAACCCATTTCTATGGGGGCTGTCTTACCGTCCGCATGCGTCGATCAGTGCACTCTCTGGCTAGGGCCTCTGCACATCGGTTTACCTCCAACGAAGCCTGAGCAATCGCCATAGAGACATGTATCAAATCCTTCTTTGTTCCATATTCACCGCTGAAGAAGTGTTGAGTGTGGTGGGAAGACAAGAAACGGGGAAAGAGATTAACGTGGTTGAATAAAAGGAACAAAAGAAAGGCAACTTTAAGCGAACATACTCAACACAGTCACT